CCTGGAGGGCGGGAGGACGTTTAGCCTGATACTACACATTCTTTTGTAATGTCTTAAAAGCAGAACAAAACAAGCCCAAAGCCATACAGTCCTCACCCTGCACATTGTGGTGCCATGGGAGTACTGTGCATAGTTTTCCTCCCTTGAGCCTGTCATTGACAAGAGCACTTTGTGCTCTGGTGAATTTGCCCTTGGGGAGTGACATTTTAAGTTTTGGATTCCACTGTAGCTCTTATCTAGAGATAATTATGGCCAAAGTTTTGGGGATAGCTTTTTCCTGCTCTTTGAGAAGAGGCTGATTTCAGAGGTCATATAGCATAAAGGACCACCCACCTAATACTACAGAAAGTCAAGCAATAGAATACTTGAGTATAAAACAAATAAACACACCTCTTTTTAATATGAGCTTGTGAGTAAAAGTAGAGTGAGTTTTTGTGACCATGATGATAAAAACCTGTCTCCAAGGATGATCGAACCTGGACATTGGTGACATCATGAAGCCATTGTCACCAGTTCTGCTTGCCTACCTCTGGATTTCCCATTATATGAGAAAAATAAACCCCATTTTGACCAAAACTATGTTTTTTTTGAGGATCTAAGTTCATGAAAAATACATGTATTCACAACCTAGTCATTAAATAAGTTACAGAACTTATTTAATTAAGGGACTTTGAGTCAGGTACATTATAAATAAGAAAATTAGCCGCTTTGACAATTTTCTGTTCTCTTTTAAAAATCAGTGGTAACTTGTTATTTATACATCAAAGTAATTTCTTCTAGTACATTGGTAACATAATGGTAATTATATCCTTTTTAAAACTCTTGTCTCTGTTCTGTTACCTAGAAAGGTTGAGGATTTGTTAGGACTTTGCATTAAAAACTTCCTGGCAAAATTTTTAAGCCAAGAAATTATTGAGGCAAGTGCGATTGAGCAGATAGTTTAAAAAAATTCTATTTTCTCCCACGGATTCAATTAAGAGGTCATTAAATCCTTCTTCTAAAACTTCTCATTAGCAGTAAATATAGATATCAGTTGAGGGTATTAGGTACATGGTTAATTAAATTTGTATTAAGGCAGATTAAGAAATCACTCTTCCTGCTCAGTATAAAGTGAAGTGAGGATTGAGCTTTATATTTAGACTTCCTGTTTTAATCCCCTGGGTGTATCACATAGATGTTTCCTGTCCAGAGAGCCTATTTGTCACTAGATTTCTTTTTGTCCTATCACCACCAACAGGCAATAGTAATGTGTACACCAGCAAAGGAAGAGAAAAAATCAAAAGTTAATTGGAAAGGGGTCTTTACATCAGGATCAGGAGGATTTCTTATGCCTGTATTTGTGTGACACTGTTGTTTGAGATATATTATACAAACAATCCATTGGAATTCCTCACTATATTGACTGATTTTCCCCCCACTGGTTGGATTGCCCGATATGCTCATGGCCTTAGAACACCACCTAAAATGTTTACATTTTCGTGTTCATTCTAGCTGGGCACTTTGAATCGCCCCAGGGACTGAATTGTTTTCTCGGAACCTCCACATACTCATTTCTTCTCTGCATGCTGCTGAGTGTGGGTTTCAGAGAGTACTTCACACGGCGGGAGTAAGAAGTGGTAGGGTTGGGGGTGGGGAGCAAAGGAGGAACAAGAGGCCAGAAACTGTCACTGAGGTCATAGTGCTGGTGTTTCTCTCTTTGCATTCCCTCTTGTGTTTCATGGGGCCAGTCATTTGCAAGGGCTACATTTTTTTAGACTTTCCAAATTTATCCTTCCAAATCTGTCTCCCTTCTGTTCTTTGTGTTTATTCCCCATCCTAGACCAAGATTTCAGAGAGAGCTAGAACTTCAGTGCTGTTCCCTATTCGATAGTGGTGAGAGCATGCATCCTGGCCTTGTTCCTGATCTTAGGGGGAAGCATTTAGCATTTGGTCTTTCCCCATTTTGTAAGATGCTAACTGCAGGCTTTTTTTGTAGATGCACTTTACTAACTTGAAGAAGTTCTTCTTTATTCTTATTTTTTTCTGTGAGTTATTTTTTTTCGAATGGGTGTAAAATTTTGTCAAGTGCTTTTTCTGCATTGATTAATATTATCACGTGACGTTTTTCTTTTTAAGAATGTTAAGATCATGGATTACATTAATGATTTAAAAATATTTAACCAACCTAGGATGAATTCCATAGTACACAATTCTTTTAAAATATTGCTGAATTCTACTTGCTAATATTTTGTTAATCTTTTTGCATCTATATCATGAGGAATGTTGGTCTGCAGTTTTCTTTTCTGCCTTTGTATGGTGTTGGTGTCGGTGCATTAGTGATTTCATAAAATGACTTGGGAGGTGATCTCTTTTATTTTCTGTGTGACATTAGATGGAATTAGTATCGATTCTTCCTTAAAAAGTTGATACAATTCTCCAGTTACACGGTGTGGGCCTGGATATTTCCTTTTTAAGAGTTTTAAATTTACAAGTTCAATTTTCTTAATAATTATAAGGCCATTCAAATGACCTATTTCATATTGGGTGAGTTGTGGTAGTTTTTGTTTTCTGAGGAATTGGTTCATTTCACACCTAATTGTCAAATTTATGTGTGTAGAGTTGTTTGTAGTACTCCTTTATTATCCTTTTTATATCTCCAGGGTCTGGAGTGATGTCCCCTGTTTTATTTCTGATAGTGCTGACATTTTTCCAGAAAAGCCTAATGAACCCCAGTGCATCCAGGTAGATTTTGAGCTAGCATAAAGCTTCCAGGAACTGGTTATGCCCCACTTGTCCTCACTGGGGAGTGACAAAATTGTCCCTCATTGCTACTTCTCTGCCTTATTTTCACTCTGCCCAACCTGGCCCCACTGGATAACTCACTGTTACAAGAACAGTCTGTGTTTCTGAAATTTTCCCTGAAAAGAAAACTCTGTACTGTCTTTCCTGCCTGTTTGAATTCCATCTACCCTTCACGGCCAGATAAAGTACCTCCTTCCCAGCAAGGTCTCTCTAATCATCCCAGATCAAACTGATAGCCCCTCTGAACTCCAGCAGGAACCCCTGCCCATGCCATTAACCAAGCCTTTCAGTAGCCTTACACCAGAGATGTATGGTTAGGAACACAGGCTCTTGCCAAGGCATACCTGGGCTTCAGTCTTTGCTCTGCCATTTCCTAGCTGCATGACCTGAGACAACTAACTTCACTTCCTTGAATCTTAGTGGCCTCCTTTGTAAAATGAAAAGATACTCTGCCTGCCAGGGTTGTTGTAAAGATTAAATAATATGTCTGAAAAGCTATTAAGTATGAAATAGATATTAGGGATATTCCAATATAATAATAATTAAAAATCAAGGGTAAATGGGAAAATATTCATAAAATAATGTTGTAATAGGAGAATTATAAAACTGTAGGTTAAGGTTAGAAAGATCCAAGAGTGTGTGCATGGTGTGTGTGTTCACAAACATACATAAAATAATGGGAAGACACACTTCAAAAACAGTTTAAATGATAGTTAGCTCTAGATGATGGGATACTTGCTGGTTTTTGTTTTCTGTTCTATATTTTAAATTTTTGGGGGTGGGACTGCAATAGATTTCTAACTCAAAAATATTATTTAAAAAATCAAGGTCTGCTGATATATTATTATTTGGTTATTTATACTGCACCATACTTTAGAAAGGGTTTAAAACAGCATACAATGTATCAAATTAAAATTAAAATATAAAACAAATTGAAGCAAAGGAGAAAATGCAGGTAGGAAAGATGCTATGTAGTGACACTGCTAAAAATTTGTTATGACTGTCTCATATCTTTCTTTTTAAAGAAGGAATGTCCTAGGATTTCCTTTAGTCATGAGTTTAATAAGTAAGATTAACTTAGGTAAAAGAAGGACAGCATTGTACAATGCAATGGAATAATATTAAAATTATACTTAAAAGAGAATAATTTTCTGCTAGTTTTCATTGAGTTAAACCGTCTGATTATTTTGTTGTTGGCATCATAGACAGACCCAAGGAAAGCATGGTTGCCATTATTTATATTTTATTATACTTGCATAATGAATTGAAAGTTATAAGTACAGATGCTTCTTGACTTATGATGGGTTACATGCTGGTTAAACCCATCGTAAGTTGAAAATATCATAAATTATGAATACATTTAATACACCTAGGCTACTGAACATCATGGCTTAGCCTAGCCTACCTTAAATGTGCTCAGAAAACTTGCAGTAGCTCACAGTTGGGCAAAATACCTAACACAAAGCCTATTTTATAATTAAGTACTCAGTAGCTCATGTACACACTAGTTTGCCAAGGCAGGAAAATGTCAAAATTCAAAAGTCAAGGTATGATTTCTACTGAATGTGTATCGCTTTTGGACCATCGTTAAGGTGAAAAATGATAAGTTGAACCATCATAAGTTGGTAATTATCTGTATACGTTTGTTAGTATTGGTTTTGCCTATCTGTTTTGAATAAGTTGAATGGAGAGGGCGGACAAACCCCAACTGGGAGTAAAGTCCTTCCCTGGCCCTGCTATTTCTTAGTGAGGTCTTACTTCCTTGGCTTATTCCTCTTTTCGGAAATTGAGGGGTCTAGACAAGAAGATCTAACTTTGACCATCTACAGTTCAGCACAGCTGTAGTTTCACTTGTTTAGGAATGTGAAACTACTATAAAGATTCCCAGTGAAAGGATCAATTTCTTGCTGCATGTTTATATAACGCACCTTCTGTTGGAGGACGTGTATTGTTTCTTGTTCTTTGCTATTATAGCCAATTCTGCACTGAAGCGCATATATATATATAAAACTTTGCTGAAGTATACAAAGATCTGTATGGTGAAAGTTAAGTGCTTAGGTCAAAGTACATATATGTTTAACAGTTTTTTTTGGTATATATTCCAAACCTCCATTGATCCTTCCACCGGGAATCTTTATAGTATGTTACTTGACCCATGTTAAGAAATGTTCATCGTAGACTTCTGTGATATTAACATAATTTAAATGTCTTTTTCACAGAGAGACCTCTCTCTCCCAAGGCCATCAAAGGATTTGAAACTGCTCCACTTACCAAGAATTATTATACTGTGGTAAGTGTTCAGATGATGAATAAAAATTTTCTTGACTCTATATGGAACTTTTTCACTTATGAAACCATCGATGTGTTGAGGTGACACGAAGGAAAGACTGAATAAATTTGCATGCATGAGTCCAATGCCATCGCATTACAGTGGAGTTCTACTTATATGCTTCTTATAGATGTCTAGAAGTCTTACATCTACCGTGCTGAAAAATTCAAAGGTAGCACAGATTCAGAGCACAGTTTCACTATCAAACACCAGTAAAATGGAAATTGGTTAATATATAAGAATTATGGTGAAATTCCACAGTTAGACATACTCTTATGAGGTATTTAGAAGGTGAATTTCCAAGTTCCTATAATGCAATACGTTTTAAGTGGTTGCATTTTGTGATTTTACTTTAGAATTAATGACTTCATTATTATATCCTCTGGAATATTATCATCCTTTGAGGAGAGCCCAAAAGGAAGACTGTCCTTTGGCACAGTGTGAGGAATGGCATGGCTCTGGCTTAAACAGATATGTCAAAATATGTTAGCTATAAATAGCATACGTGCAGTACTCAAAATAAATTCCTGTTTGAACAAGAAATTGTATCATTCTCCTTCAGCTACTCTCTGCTTTCTCTTCATGTCTCCTTTCTAGACTTGGCCCAGTCACTAATTAAAAGGTCAAGTCATCATTAACCTCTAAGTCTCCCTGACTGGTAGCCTTGTCATTCCCCTGGCCCAGTGTTCTGTGTGCGTTTGTACTGCATACTCATCTCCCTTTGTGCATGGATAGCGTTTTTAAACATCTCTATACAGGCATGTGAATATCATTTGTTTTCAGAAAGTTGAATTTCACTCTTCAGTGAATTTGCTCTATAATGATGACAAGAGCAATAGAGAATATGAAAAATCAGAAAGGAACTCACTAGGTAACATGGGACAATAAATAATCACAGGGGACTAGTTTGTCAATATCTTTTCTCTTACATTGCCAAGGCTAAAACATATTAACCAGCAGGGATAGGTTTCCTTACTTTCTGACCACTTATTTTAGCTTTTAGATAACCTCTAATGATTTACTTTTTAAAGAAAGGTTGCAGTGGAATGATGGATGAAAATATTACCATATCTTCTTCTCCCTGTGGGTCTGGAGCATATCATCACTCTGCTTTGGATCTCTTTCTGCCTCTGCTGATTCTGCCAACTTAAAATGTGGTTGGGATTATCCAAGGCAGAGTAACCTCTGTGATTCTCAGATAATTTATATAAATCCTATGTATATAATCGTTGGACTCTGGACGTGCTGCAGTTTATATAACGTGCCTCCTGTTGGAAGATGTGTATTGTTTCTAGTTCTTTGCTATTATAGACAATTCTGCATTGAATAGCTTATATATATCACTTTGCCAAAGTATATGAAGATCTATATGGTGAAAGTTAAGTGCTTAGGTCAAAGCATATATATGTTTAACAATTTTTTTTGGTATATATCCCAAACCTCAGACCTAATAAAGATAACAAATGTTTTGGGGGAACTCATGATGACATGTGAAGAACCTGTAGAACTCCGATGTTCATTGCTTAATTATTGATCAGCTGAATATATTGTAACTAGATAGGGATGTGAAGAGTTTTTGGTTGGTAGGTTTTTTAAATCCACATTTCTTTGGCTTTGAATATTTAGGCAAATTTTTAATGTCTATTAATTCAAAATATGTTTTGAGTGTTCTGATTGTCCTCCTAATCTATGTTGAATAAAATAATCGATTCCACCCGCAGGATTTGTAGACTTGGAAAATCAGTTTCACTCACATGAAAAGTCCCCTCATCTGATCTTATATTAACTCTTGTTCCCTCCAAGAGTCATTAATTGTAGATATTTTCTGTTGCTAGATCTATAAGAGTACTAATGACTGATTTTTACTTCATTAAAAAAGATAACATTTTTCTCTTATATAACTAATTATATAAAAACGGTTTTTAAAATATCAGACTATACAGAAATAGAAAAAAATAAATACCACATGTAATCCCTCCACTTACAAATAATCACTATTAACATGTTAGTGACTCTCATGCCAGATTTTCTTAGAGGCAGGTGTATGTGTATACATATATATGCATATATATGTACATATAGCCTGTAATATATATGTGTATACATAAATGTTTAAATGAAACAGGAAATTGTGTATTCTTTCTTTTTCATAAAGTTTTTGGAGACAAAGTCTTGCTCTGTTGCCCAGGTTGGAGTGCAGTGGCATGATGTGGGCTCACTGCAACCTCAGCCTCCTGAGTTCAGGCGATTCTTCTGCCGCAGCCTCCCCAGTAGCTGGGACTACAGGCGTGTGCCACCTTGCCTGGCTAATTTTTGTAACTGTAAGAGAGATCGGGTTTCACCATGTTGGCCAGGCTTGTCTTGAACTCCTGACCTCAGTTGATCCACCCACCTCGGCCTCCCAAAGTGCTGGAATTACAAGAATGAGTCACCATGCCCAGCCCATAAAGATTTTTCTGTCTTCACACCCCAATAATACTTGTGTCTGACTAGAGCTGTTCTTTTTCTTTTCTTTTTTTGAGATCGAGTTTTACTCTGTTGCCCGGGCTTGAGTGCAGTGGTACAATCTTGGCTCACTGCAACCTCTGCTTCCTGAATTGAGGTGATTCTTCTGCCTCAGCCTCCCCAGTAGCTGGGACTACGGGTGTATGCCACCATGCCTGGCTAATTTTTGTAATTGTGGTAGAGATGGGGTTTCACCATGTTGGCCAGGGTAGTCTCAAACTCCTGACCTCAGGTGGTCCTCCTGCCTTGGCTTCCCAAAGTGTTGAGGTTACAGGCGTGAGCCACTGCACCCAGACAGACCTGTTCTTATGCTCTTCCATTTAGTGAGTCTTTATCAGCCTATGGCTCCTTTTATTTTGGTCCTGTGTATTAGTCAGGTTTTCCAGAGAAACAGAACCAATAGAAGAGAAAGAGAGAGAGAGAAAGAGAGAGAGAGAGAGAGAGAGAGAGAGAGAGAGAGAGAGAGAGAGAGAGAGAGAGAGAACAAATAAAGAACTGGCACATGTGAATATGGAGACTGAGAAATCCCACAGTTTACCGTCTCAAAGCTGGAGACCCAAGAAAGCTGGTGGTGTAATTCTGTACAAGTCCAAGGGCCTGGGACCAGAGAGCTAATAGTATAAGTTTCACTCTGAGGTCAGGAGAAGATCAGTTTTCCAGCTCAAATAGGCAGACAGAGAAAGCAGATTCTCCCTTCTTCTACCTTTTTGTTCTATTCAGGTCCTTAACAGATTGGATGAAGCCCACTCACAATAGGGAGGCAATCTGCTCTACTACATCTACCAATTTAAATGCTAATCTCATCTGGAAACACCCCTACAGACACATGTAGAAATAATGTTTAGCTAAGTATCTGGGCGCCCTGTCTATCTGCCTAAGTTTACAGGATGTGATGATTAATTTTTTTTTTTTTTTGAGACGGAGTTTCGCTCTTGTTACACAGGCTGGAGTGCAATGGCGTGATCTTGGCTTACCGCAACCTCCACTTCCTGGGTTCAATCAATTCTCCTGCCTTAGACTCCCAAGTAGCTGGGACTACAGGCATGCACCACCATGCCTGGCTAATTTTTGTATTTTTAGTAGAGCCGGGGTTTCACCATGTTGACCAGGATGGTCTCGATCTCTTGACCTCGTGATCCACCTGCCTCGGCCTCCCAAAGTGCTGGGATTATAGACGTGAGCCACCGCTCCCGGCCGCGATGATTATTTTTACATGTCAAGTTGACACATAAATTTAATCATTGCATCCTGTAAACTTGGGCAGGATGCAGACCTCTTGGATTTTGCAAATCTGCAAACATGTTCTCCCTTTTATCAAATTTCTAAGGGTTTGTCTGCTGAGGTCAGCCCCATTTAGGCCTTGATGAAATTCTGATGTCATGTAAATTTTGAAATGTTAAGTAGTTGTACAGTGTGACCAAGGTGGCTGTGGGTACCCAGCTCAGACCCATACCTGCCACTAGGCATGTTTAATGTGTCTGTACTAAAAATATAAAAATTAGATCTGACCACTCCTGGCCTATTGTTTTGAATGGGAACTTAGCCTCCTTTAGGGACATGGCGGCCCAGAGAAAGCTTTTGCTCTCCCTGATCTTGGTTCCTTAATTGTCCTCAATCGTTGCTGCCATGTTAAACTTCTCTCACTATTAATTAGTTTTCTAATAATCTTCTTCTCCCCATTATCTTTCTTTGCTCTTTGCATATTGTTATATGCCAGGAAGATTTAAAAAGTAAAAATTAGAAAAAGGAACTGATACAGCTTGGTTATCAGGCTTTACTTGTATGCGGAACTCATGTCTTGGCACCCACGACCTCATTGGGAAGGCAGGACAAACATGATAGTGTAAGCCACATGGCAGAGAATGATGTCAGGTTGTAAAGTGTTGGAAGATGGGTTTTTCAAAATGTGGTTGGAATTCTTTGTCTCAGAGGCACCTGGGGAGGTTGTTAAAACTATAGACATACTGGTGTGGTGACTCATGCCTGTAATCCCAGCACTTTGGGAGCCTGAGGCAGGTGGATCACTTGAGGTCGGGAGTTCAAGACCAGCCTGTCCAACATGGCAATACCCCGTCTCTACTAAAAATATAAAAATTAGCTGGGTGTGGTGGCCCAGGCCTGCTACTTGGGAGACTGAGGCAGGAGAATCACTTGAACTGGGAGCCGGAGGTTGCAGTGAGCAGGGCCAAATACTTAACTTGCTACATCAAAACCTCTGGCTGTTGATTCCAGGAAATAGCATTTTTAACAACTCCCACTCCTTCCTTAACCACTTCCCCTTAACACACAGGTGGTTCTGATGCTCACTTCACCTAAAATATGAGAACCAATCAAGGAAAAGGTTGAACGGAGGATGTAGGATTCAAGGCAAATCTTGGAGGAAGGTTGGAACTTAAGACAAGCAGAGAAGAGCTGAGAGCTTATTCAGACAGGGAATTTATGAGCAAATTCTCCCA